AAAACAAAACAAACAAAAAAAAAGATCTACAATAAATAACAGCCAGTACCAACCCCTAGGCCTTCTGACCCTTCTTTCCGTCCTCTGTCCCTCACTGTCTCCACAAAGAGATAGAATGATATGGAAAGGGCTGTGATGTAAGACGCCCAGCTAGGTAATGTCAGATGTTCAAAGCCAAGGGCAGAGGTACATAACTGCACGAATACTTGGGAAACTGAGGCAGGAGGACCACAGGTTCAAGCCTAGCCTGGGCAAGACTCTATCTCAAAATAAAATTTTAAAAGATCTGGGGATGTAGCCCAGTGACAGCACGCTTGCCTACCATGCATGAAGTGCTGGGTTCAATTCCCAGTACCAAAAAAGCATAAGGACAAGAAAGCTCAGACATTCAACTCCATCATAGCCACTAGCTTTGGAGATCTCTTTGCGGAAACACTGCTCTGAGGTCCCAGGTTGGTTGCTTGCTGAATTCCAGGAACTTCCTTTGTGGTCTAGATTAGCTTAAGTTTCTGTTGAGGGTATGAGAAAAAGGAACTGGTGTGTATAATTTCATTCTTCCCCTGGCTTCAAGAGGAAAGCCACCACCCCTATACGTGTGTCTCAGGGATCCAGATCTCCTGAGCCAGATGTGGCAATAGAAACAGCGAGGTCCCCTATGTGGGAGCTGCTTTCAAAAGGGAGGCAGAGAGGCCTCTAAGTGTGCAGGAAGAAGCAATGTCTAAACCTGGCCTTGACACTACGTCCAGGAAGCCAGGCCCCTGAAAGGCTATTTTCTCTGCAGCTACACCCTGAGAGAAGTTCATGTTGAGTCACAGGATATATTCCTGAATAGCTACACTGTAGTTCACAATAGTCCTGCAGAAAGACCAATCCTCGCTGAAAGGTCTTAGACAAGACAATGCTTTTCAACTCGGCTCCCGTGTCTGCAACACCTGCCCTGCCTGTGCCTCATTTTGCAGATAGACTAGATCATGCTGCTGCGTGAAAGTGTTCGTTCTTTCCACCCATCCAGGATTGACAATGGGGCCTACCGGGTGCCAGGTATAGTGCTTGGTAGCAGTAGGAGTTCGGACTTTGAGGACTGCATCGCCTAGCCTGGGCACTTCCCTTTCCTTTCTGACTCTGGCTATATTGGCCGGATGCAGGTCACACTGGGCTCCATCCCTGGATTCCGGTTAAGAGAGGGTTCTGGGTCTTTGACCCATAGTTCCAGGGAACTGAGCAGCTGTACCGCACAGCTGCAGCGCTACCCCCACCCAGCCCTGACGCCTACTCACCGCCCTCAGCTTTGGCTCTTTGTGACCTGGAGCTTTTCTTGTCCTCTTAGTGTACAACAGACTCCCCCCGCCACACACACACACAGTTCTCCAAGGGGCACAGAACTCCGATCACACAGCTTCCTTGAGTCAGAGGACCCCTTCTTTCTGCTCAAGGTGATACTGGCTTGGGAAGAAGCAGCCTGTAATGTGACAGAGTAGGAACTGGGATGGGGGGTTGCTGTGGCAAGGGGTGGAAGGAAGCCACATACTTGTACCCTTACTCATGGAAAGCAA